CCTCTTGGGAGCCTCTTGGAGGCCGTTTGGGGCGTCTTGGGGGCCTCTTGGCGGCCCCAGGGGCTTCCAGGAGCGTCTTGGGTGCCTCGGGGGAGCCTCTTGGGGCCTCTTGGGGGCCTCTTGGGGGCATCTTGGGGGCCTCTTGGAGGCCTCTTGGGGGCCTCCTGGGGGCCTCTTGGGGCCATCTTGGGGCCTCTTGGTGCCTCCTGGGCGCTTCTAGGGGCCATCGTGGAGGGGATGGATCAAAGAAGAGGGGAGCTTCAATGAGGGCTGCCCCCTCAGAAGGGCAAAATGAGCCCAAAACCTTCGGAAAATCAATGATTTTGCCCTGAAGGAAGAGGGGAGCTTCAATGAGCGCGGCCCCCTCAGAAGGCCAAAATGGGGCCAACACCGTAGTAACATCAATGATTTTGGCTTCAAAGAAGAGGAGAGGGTTTTTTCTGCCCCCCCCCGTCGGGGCCAGAATCCTCGTGAGAGGTGTCGTTTTTTAGCCCTCCCAGGAGTCGAAACTGACCCCCCTGACGGCCCGCGAAACCCCCTCTCCAGGTCCAGGGGGAGGGGGTAGGGGGAGGGGTAAACCCCTCCCCGAAGGGGAAGAAGGGGGGTTGAGAACAGAGAGAGCTCCCTAAACCACTCACGCCCAAAGGGCTGGTGGGATTCGGGATACGCCCGAAATCAAACACAGATGGGGCGGACCAGCGAGACGAGTCAGGCAAACCTCTTAAGGTGGGAACAGGCTCGATCGGCAGTCAAGACAGACTGCAACTGTGCGCTGTGCGCTGTGGTGCGCCGTAGAGCAGGTCAACCAGACCAGCAAGACTGGCTAGCGGTCTGGACCAGCCAGTCCCAGACCAGAGTAAGCAGATCAACCAGATCAATCAGATCAGTTGCAGCACAAATGCATGGCAAGAACAACTGCAATACACAAAAAACTGCGATGGACAACATTGAACCAGGCTGATTATCCGCAATAGCAAGAGAAACCAGCACAGTAGACCAATTAGACCAACCAGACCAGCCAGCCAGACAAGCCAGCCAAACCAGAACAACCAGGGGTCATACAGACGAGACGGCCATCGATTCTAGCCAAGCCCAGACGAGATTGGGCAGATCAACCAGACCAACCACATCAGCTAAATACAAGTTGCATGTCAACCAAAGTTACGGATCAAAACGTGAGCCAAATAGGTCAGCAAGACCAGGAAGTCAAAACAGTGAAATAGACCAGCCAAACAAACTAGACGAGCCAGCCATCCAAACAGCGAAGTTCAAACCATACTAATAGATCAACGGGACCAGCCAGACCAAGGCTGCAATGCAAACAAGCACGGCGAACGTGTACATACGAGAATGTGAACACATGAGCCAAGCAGGCCAGCAAGATCCGCAAGCCAAACCAGTGAAGTATACCATCCAGACCAACCATATTTGCCAGCCATCAGCACGAACACCAACCAGACGAACCAGACCAGTCAGGCCAGCCAGACCAGCATGTAGCAGCGAAACCGCGCCACTCCGAAGCAGACCAACACTACATTAACCAAACTTTAGTGAAAAGCAAAAACTGCAATTACAAATCATTGTTTTGCTGTCAAGCTCCAGCAGTCAAGCTCTGGAAGAGGAACGCCGGCACTCCGAAGCAGACCCAAATTGCAGTTCAAAAGCATGCCACTGCAAAACACAGTACAATGCAAGCACAAGCAATGCTAACCACATTGTTATGCGATCGTGGTAGTTGGCGCTGCGCGCTACGCACCTCCATGGACCTCCTCAAACCGCATCCTCCTCGCCCTCGGAGTCTAATCTGCTCATACGCTTAATCTCCAGCCACTAGCAGCCGAACAGCGTCACTCCGAAGCAGACCCGGACTGCACTGCGAACCAGATCGCTTTGCAAACGCACCGTAATGCTGAACGAACTGTTTTGCTGTCGTCGTAGTGGTTGGCGCTGCGCCCTTCGCACCTCCCTGGGCCTCAAACCAGACTCGGCTGGCCCGCGGAGTCAGAATCATAAGCTCAAGGTGTAGCAGCGAAGCAGCGGCACCCCGGGGCATTCGAGTAGTGTCGGGGGGGTGTTCAGTACCAGAGAGCAGAAACAGATCTCTCGCAGAGGGTGGGGAGCAGTTGCCCGGTACACTTCGGAAGCATATTGGGTAGCTCTCGTGACTTGGGCGCCGCGGTTCGTACGAACAAAGTCAATCAAAACCACCAACATCTTGCAAAACGGGGATGCAAGGGGGACGTAGCTGCTGAGAGAAGGACGCTCCACACCGCACCTCAGAACCACTGCGGCGGGCCGGCATGCATGCAATATCCTAACCTGAGCCAGTCGCAAGTCTGTGCTCAAGTGGTCCGGCCTGCGCTTCTGCCTGCGCGCGCCCAGTCACCTTGGCGTCGAAGCATGGTCCATGCTGCAGCCGTCGCAGCTGCAGCCGTCGGAGTTGCAGTGGTGGTGGTTATCAGCAAGATCATCGGTGAATCCCAGGAGCCTGTTCTTTCAGCCTTCCAGCAGTAAAGAAGCTTTACCCATGGCCGGATAGTACTTTCACAATGTGTGCCAGTGCCGTTTTGGAAAGGGCGACGTTTGGCCATCCCCAGACGGAGCGTGCGCGAAGCGTGACGTCACTAGGGGCTGGACGGGAGGGGGGGACGGCGCCCGTCCCAGACCCCCGACGCCGTGATTTTTCTCACAGCGTCGAACCCGAGAAGTCTCGACCCCTTCCCCAGGACAGGCTTTTCGTTCTGATTCATGTTTTGATGGTCCCGGGGCCCGGTGAGGGCCCCCGGAGGCCGAGAATAGCGAAAAACCTCCCGTCGCGATTTTTTCACAACGCGAGGGGGTCTGGGGTAACGGGCGTCAGTCAGGCAACACACACAACACACAACACACAACACACAACACACAACACACAACACACAACACACAACACACACATACACAACAAAAACAGATAACCAAGAAATTACGCTACCGAGGAAACCCACATACTTGAATTATGGCTGGAGTGATGATAGCTGAAATGAAGCATGTGAGAATAATGTTGGTGGCCATCCCCTGCACACCCTCTATGGTGTCGAGAAAACGGCACGCCTGCTACGCCCTGGACGACCGGCTCGGATTGGGGCCGCGCCTGCCACGCTTTGCGAGGCCGCAACGGATAGGGCGACCACCCCCAGCGCACCCCCTGTGGTGTCGAGGAAGTGCCACGCCTGCCACGCTTTGCGAGGCCGCAACGGATAGGGAGACCACCCCCGCGCACCCCCTTGTGGTGTCGAGGAAGTGCCACGCCTGCCACGCTTTGCGAGGCCGCAACGGACAGGGAGACCCCCCCCAGCGCACCCCCTTGTGGTGTCGAGGAAGTGCCACGCCTGCCATGCTTTGCGAGGCCGCAACGGATAGGGAGACCACCCCCAGCGCACCCCCTGTGGTGTCGAGGAAGTGCCACGCCTGCCACGCTTTGCGAGGCCGCAACGGATAGGGCGACCACCCCCGCGCACCCCCTGTGGTGTCGAGGAAGTGCCACGCCTGCCACGCTTTGCGAGGCCGCAACGGATAGGGAGACCCCCCCCAGCGCACCCCCTGTGGTGTCGAGGAAGTGCCACGCCTGCCACGCTTGGCGAGGCCGCAACGGATAGGGAGACCACCCCCAGCGCACCCCCTGTGGTGTCGAGGAAGTGCCACGCCTGCCACGCTTTGCGAGGCCGCAACGGATAGGGAGACCACCCCCAACGCACCCCCTGTGGTGAACCACCCCCAGCGCACCCCCTGTGGTGTTAAGGAAGCGCCACGCCTGCCACGCTTTGCGGGGCCGCAACGGATAGGCAGACCACCCCCAGCGCACCCCCTGTGGTGTCAAGGAATCGCCACGCCTGCCACGCTGTGCGAGGCCGCAACAGATTGGGAGACCCCCCCCAGCGCACCCCCTGTGGTGTCGAGGAAGTGCCACGCCTGCCACGCTGTGCGAGGCCGCAACGGATAGGGAGACCACCCTCATTGCACCCCCTGTGGTGTCCAGAAAGTGCCACGCTTGGTATGCCTGGACGACTGGGGCGTGCTGTGCTGTGCTGGCCTGTGCTGCGGTCTGATGTGCTGTGCTGTGCTGTGCTGTGCTGTGCTATGCTGTGTGTGCGGTGTGCTGTGTGTTCTTGTGTGTTTGTGTGTATGTGTGTGTATGTGTATGTGTATGCTGTGCTGTGCTGTGTTGTGCTGTATGCTGTGTGTCTGTGTGCTTTTGGTTTTGTCTGTATGTGTGTATGTGTGTATCTGTGTGCTTTGATGTGCTGTGCTGTGCTGTGCTGTGCTGTGGGTGAGGGAGGAAGGAAGAGGAGGGGGAGGAGGAGGAGGAGGAGGAGGAGAAGGAGGTGTGAGTCGCGGGCGCGTGAGTCGCGGGCGCGGCGCGGCAGAGAAGAAAACCATAACCCCACCAAGCATGTGGGGAAAAAGAGCTCCAGGCACCCAATCACAGCCCGTCTGGCCAGTCGCCGCCTGCGTCAGGCACCCCGTCTCGCCAGTCGACACCGAGCCCCGCTCGGATCTCGCAGCAGGAGCGCTCCGACATCCACGCGCAGGGCCTGGAGGCGGAGAGGCAGGAGCAGATCCGGCGCCAGCAGCAGGAGCTGGCATGGTCGAAATGGGGACGGACGGACCCAGACCCCCTTCGCGTTGTGACAGAATCTCGGCGGGAAGTTTTTGTTCGCTTTTTGCTCGGCCTCCGGGCGCCCTTGCCCGGCCTCCGGACCGTTCAGTGCACGACTCAGGGCGAAAAGCCGTTCCAGGGGAAGGGGTCGAGACCTCTGCGGGTCGACTTCTTGAAAAGATCAAGACGTCCGGGGTCTGGGGAGTGGGCGCGAAGACTGAGAAGGCAGGTGAGGCCTATTTCCGACAGGACTCGCTGATGGCGTCGCCGCGGACGTGGCCCATTTCAAACAGGTGCCGCCTGCCCACAACGGTCGCTGTCGGTTTGGACAGCCTTCGCTGTGGGGCATCGTCCACCTTCGGGCATGCCACAGGAAGAACAGGCTCGCAAAGAAGCCCTCCGAAATTACCCCAAGCCATCATGGATGCAGACGCGCGGCACTCTCAACATTGGGATTGCTGGCAATTCTGGGTGTGGCAAGAGCACCCTTGTCAATTCCCCTCGCGGCTTGAATGATGATGACCCAGGCGCGGCGCCAACTGGGGTTGTGGAGACAACGGCCAATCCAGTGCCTTACAAGCTCTGCGAGCGACATTTCCCCGTGAACATCTACGATTTGCCCGGAGCAGGGACGCTCAAGATCCCTCGCGACACCTACATCCAGAAGATGGGCATGATATGGTTCGATGCGGTTATCATTGTGACTGCCCAGCGTGTCACAGAGACTGAAACACTTCTTGCCGAGGAGTTGAAGCGAAACCGCGTCCCGACCTTTTTTGTCCGCAACAAGGTGGACTTCGACATCCAGAACGAAATGCGGCGCAAAGTAGATCCGGACGAGGCAATGGACAAGATGCGCACAAACATGATAAATAACCTGGGCATTTCGAATCCGTACCTCGTATGCGCATGGAAGACCTCAGAGTACGACTTCCCACGGCTCGTGAGAGACCTGGTGACCGCTGTGCTCAAAGCGCGCAACGTACCTGACAGCGCCATACATGAGGCCCTGGTTACCATGGGCATTGGCGCACAAGTTCGGATGCCCAAGACAGCACGCTCCATGGATGTGGCGATGTCGCCCATGACGCAGCGGGGCGCAGTCAGTCGGTCTGCGCCTGCTTCGCTACCGACGCTCGCGCAACCGTCCGCTCCGCACCCGTCGCCTTCGCAGATGGCTTCTGGGCCGATAGCTCCGCAGGCGACCGTGTCAGCAACGGCGAAGGTTCAGGAAGCTGCTCGGCGCGCAAGGAGGAACAATGGAGTTCTTAAGGTGGACTTCAGCACACGTTTTGAAGGACCAGCCTTTCGGTTCGCCGAGGATCTGCACTGAATCATCCATGGTGGGGCTCACATGGCTGGCTTGCCTATCGTAGCTCACAATCCGAATGCTTATAACAAGAAGGATTGTGGCGACGAGCCGTGCATGGGGAATTGCGCAGAGAACATGCGAAAGATGGATGGTTCCATTCTCAATATCCCTGGGCCAGGCAATGGCCAGTCGATGTGTTGGAGGAAGTCGTTCCGGTGCGACCATCTGCGCGTGGCAGCAGTCATGGTCCAGATTCAGACTGAGAGCGGCCTCACGCGAAACCAAACACTTGAGGCTCAAATGGCCGAGCTAGAGGGATGTCCCATCTACACGATCGTCACCGACCATGGCGTCTCCCCTCCTGGAAGCCCACAAGAGCTGTTTGAGTTCTTGCATGGGGTCATCAAAGCGATGCGAAGTGCGATGTGAAGAGCTGTTTGAGTTCTTGCATGGGGTTATCAAAGCGTGTCCACTGCAGAGCGCGCGCCAACGATGGTATGGCAGACGCCTTGAGTGCTACAGGCGTTGATCCAGCACTGCCGCATGGCCAGGAGACCGACCCTGGATGCAGCATGGGCGCTGCAGGGCCCACGGTGTCCCCTTGGAGGCACACATTTTCCTTGTAGTACGAGGCTTAGTTTAAGACTTTACCGTCAGTATACTTCTTCAGGGGCATACCAAACCCTTGTTCCCGGCTCGTGATCGTGTACAGAACATGCTGCATTCAGCGGTAGGTCTGTCTTGTGACACATTTTCTTCTGGTTACGCAGCACCCCGCAATTGCGGAAAAGAGTGAGGGGGCGGGCGCGGGCGACGCGGGCGTCGTCGAGCCCGCGGACCTCGTGGCCCCCACATTCCCTGTCGATGGCGCTCTCCTCCTCCTCCTCTTCCTCCTCCTCCTCCTCTTCCTCGTCCTCGTCCTCGTCCTCATCGTCATCGTCATCATCCTCCTCCTCCACCTCGTCCTCCTCTTCTTCCTCGTCCTCCCTCTCCCCCCCTCGTCATTCCATCATCGTCCTCCCATTGTCGTCCTCCCCCTTCATCGGCCTCCATCATCGTCCTCCCATTGTCGTCCATCATCATCCTCCTCCCCCTCCTCGTCCTCCTCCTCCCCCTCCTCGTCCTCCTCCCCCTCCTCCCCCTCCTCCCCCTCCTCGTCCTCCTGCTCCTCCTCCTCTTTCTCCACATTCTCCTTACATCCTCTCTTCTTCCGCGTCCTCCTCGTCCCCTGTTTACTCCTCCTGCCTCCCCCTCCTTTCCCAAGATAACGGCAACGCAATCTTTTTTTCCACTTTATGCTCCCCGACTTCTCTGATCAAGGCAACTCGCCAGGGCAAAGTTGCTGGACGGGCTGGTGTGGATGCGCGGGGCTTGAAGAGGTCGTTGCGGGCTCAGACGGCATGCAAAAATCCGCCGCCGCGCTTGTGCGGCATTGGTTTGTTCAGTGAACGTGGTTTGGGTCGCGGGTGGGTCGCGGGCTCTCCACCTCCACCTGGAAGGAATGCAAAAGCAGCCCGCCGCAGGCGCCGGAAAATTGGTTTGTACACTGAACATGGTTTGGGTCGCGGGTGGGCCGCGGGTTCTCCACCGGGAACGAATGCAAAAGATGCCCGCCGCAGGCGCCGAAAAAATTGGTTTGTACCCTGAACGTGGTCGCGGGTGGGCCGCGGGCTCTCCACTGAAACGAATGCAAAAGATGCCCGCCGCAGGCGCCGAAAAATGTGGTTTGTACCCTGAACGTGGTTTGGGTCGCGGGTTGGTCGCGAGTTGGTCGCGGGGGGGTCGCGGGCTCTCCACCTGGAAGGAATGCAAAAAAGCCCGCCGCAGGCGCCGAAAATGGTGGTTTGTACCTTGAACGTGGTTTGGGTCGAAGGTGGGTCGCGGGTGGGTCGCGGGGTGGGTCGCGGGTGGGTCGCGGGTGGGTCGCGGGTGGGTCGCGGGTGGGTCGCGGGTGGGTCGCGAGGTGGGTCGCGGGTGGGTCGCGGGGTGGGTCGCGGGGTGGGTCGCGGGGTGGGCCGCGGGGTGGGTCGCGGGTGGGTCGCGGGTGGGTCGCGGGTGGGTCGAGGAGTATGTCGCGGGGTCGCGGGGTGGGTCACGGGTGGGTCGCGGGCCGGGTTGCGGGTGTGACGACGACAACAAACAACAACAAACAACAAACAACAACAATAATCCGCACCGCGGAATCCCACTTCAGCCACGCACCCAGGGACAGTGAATGACCGTTCGGCCCCCTCACTCTGATATCCAGCGCAGGCACGATCCTTCAATTGACCTCCATCGACCGTCTGCTTGCGTAACAAATTGACGGGGCTTCCGCCGCATCCGTCGACCCCGTTGGTCAGTTGTTTCGTACCATGAGCCGTGTATATCGGTTGTGGCATCGCATGCGCGGCCAGACTTTCCATCTAAACCGCGTTGACGAAAATGCGTTCAGGACGGGGAGGGCGAGTTCGGACCGCTACTCCCCTATCCTCAAATTGAAGAGTGCCGGGTCGGGAGTTGGCTCCTGGGAGGGGGGAGATTCTCAAGTCGGGGGATAGGTCGAGCCAGTCGGGGATAAGTAGACCAATAGGGACCCTGTAACGTAGGTGGATGTGGCATGACCTGTGGGGCTGGATTTCGTTTTACGTTTTCCAGGCGCCCGTGTCGCAGCATTTGGTTTCTTCAGCACGGGAGCTTGAAGTTTCTGATGCGTTGTTTCCCAACGGGCGTGAACTGTATTTCGCGAAGGCTTGATTGGTTGGCAAGACCGCATCGGAGAGCGAGGGTCGAATTGAGCACGTAATTTCGTGCGCGAGTACGGGGGCGCACATATTGGAGTCGATTTTCAGACTGAATGGTGATCGACACGCGATTGACCTCAGAGAGGCACGCCGTCATGCACAAGTAAGCCGCCTCGACTTAACATCATCTCTTAAGAATGACGCGCCGAATACCTCGACCATAATAGGGATGCGACCTCTAACATTGGCGGACTTCTTCAGATCCGCACAGAGACACGGTGATGCCAGTAATAGGGGCATGGATGCGAGTCAGGCTGGCGTTCAGGAGTGACGAGGCGAAGATTCAAGGGACACCAGAACGGGGGCCCCGCGCGCGCCATTACCTGAAACAAAAGTTTGCTGTTCTACCCTAGGTTGTCCATTCGGGAAAAGGTTTCCCTTGGTAAGTATTTGTGGACGTGGAGGAACATGGGGATGGGCAGGCAGCGGTTGAGGGGGGGGGCTGAGCAATGGGGGGGAATGCAGTGGGAGGCCGAGGAGGAGCCAGATGAGGGGGGTGGGATTGATGGTGGTGTGGAATAGGACCAGGAGGGGGGATGAGAGCGAGGAGAAGCAGGAGGAGCAATCTTCGATGCGTCGTGGGCCGCATTGAGTTCATAGAAGCCCGGAAGGCGAGGCTGCGATGATCTTTCAAGCAGGTAAGGACATTGGCATGATCTTGGTTTCTTTGGTCCCTGCTGGGGGTCCTCTTGGAGCCCTTGTGGATCGTTCTGGGGGAATTCTGGAAGAGTCTTGAGGCAACCTTGAGGCAATCTCAGTGGTGCATGATGGTGCAGCGTCGCGATCCTCTCTCAGCAAGCCATCGTTTCCTCCAAGAGCGTGCTGCGAAGCAGTCGTCGCAAGACAATCGTGGGCAGTCTTGGGGGCCCATCTTGGGCCGTCTTGGAGAGACATCTCGGGGGCCAGCTTGGCGGCATTGCTGGCCTGGCTCGGCGAGGGAAAGGCTGCTTGTGATGGATTGTGTAGGACGTGTCCCTCCTCAGGAGGGATATTCAAAAATTGTATAAAACTAGTCAGTGGTCGATTTTTCTACTATGTTTGGCTATTTTTGATTTTTTGTGTGTATGTTTATTTGTCGCCAAAAGTCGCCTGTGTGGGGACACCTCCGACCTAATACTCGGAGGGGGTGGCGACTGTGGGGCTGCACAGTCCACCCGCGTAGCGAGGATGGGCAATCTTCCCAAGGGTACCTGTATCATCGCGCCAACATCGCAGAGCTCATTTCGTTGAGAAAACGACAGGGTGAGCCTGGAACGTCCTGGAGAATGTCATTCCAGATTTCGAGGTGAATTTCGTGCGGACTTTTTGGCCAGGAAGGAAGACTACAAACATCCACGCGAACTTTACTTCTCTTTTCACTCGCCGTGTCGGGGTTTTGCATTGGCAGAAGTCCGTTCAAAATCCGCTGAAGCACGCCTGCAAGGTCGGTGCAGTGACCTGTACATCCTTGCCCCTTCGGCCCATCCTTAGCGATTTTCGCTGGCCAACCTCGTCCGAAGAAACGTTCGCGGGGGCCTCCAAGGCCCCTGCATCCTTACCGCGCATCCTTATGATACGGGTTGGCTGTCGTGGTGCACGCAGCTGGATCGGGAGAAAGGAGAGAGGGTTTTTGGAAGACATCGGAAACATATTGAGGGGCAGCATCTATTAGGAAATCGGAGGGGATAGGTTCGAAGACTTCAGGGCCTCAGCCCCACCATCGTGTCGCCAATCCCCCCTCACGTCCTCTCCTTTTTTGCTTGCCCTTTTCCATCCCTCCTCCCTCCTGGCAACCCCTGGCATCGTCCGTCTGTGTTCGCAGTGATCCAGGCCGTCACGACGACGACGAGGACGACGACGTTTGGAGCGCTCCGTGGACCCCTGTGGGTAGTTTTGGGGCCTCTTGGGAGGCTCTTGGGGGCTGATCGGAGGACGGGCCCAGCAGCACACAGGAGGAGCAGCAGCGGGAGCAGCAGCTGCAGGAGCAGCAGCAGCAGCAGCAGTAGCCCCCTGGTGACAGTCAGGAAGTTGCCTCCGAAGGTTCGGCCTTCAGCTGCAAAAGTAACGCGCCCCCTCCTGGGGACAGCATTGTGGCGATAGTTGGCAGCGCTGCTTAGGGCGCGCGCTCGCTCGGAGACGTTCCTCAAGTGCGGCCCGACGTTTCCGAAAGTGCGGCCTTCAGCTGCCACAGTCCCCTGGTGACAGTCAGAAACAGCCCCCTGGTGACAGCAAGAGATGTCCCCCGGTGGCAGTCAGCAGCAACAGCTGCAGCAGCAGCAGCAGCGGCTGCCCCCTGGGTGACAGCCCCCGGTGTCAGCAGCAACTGCAGCAGCAGCAGCCCCCTGGAGACAGTCAGGAAGTTGTCCGCTGGTGTCGGTCAGAAAGTGCGGCCTTCGGCCTTCAGCTGCAAAAGGAACGCGCTCCCTCCTGGAGACAACACCGCGGCGATACTTGGCAGCGCTGCAGAGGGCGTGCCCGTGCTCGGAGAATTTCCTCGCAATTCCGACTGTCAGGAAGATGTCCCCGAAAGTGCGGCCTTCAGCTGCAAAGAAAAGCGCCCCCTCCTGGAGACAGGATCGCGGCGGTAGTTGGCAGCGCCGCTGAGGGCGCGCCCGCGCCCGGAGACGTTCCTCACAATTCTGACAGTCAGGAAGATGTTTCCGTAAG